TGGCTCATTCATCTTGCTCCAACGCCTTGCAGATAAGGCTCGGCGGTGAGGTCAGCGGGAGGGTTTTGCATTGTGGAGCAGTGTGTCACGCAGGACACAGGGCCACCTGCAGTTGCCTGCCCTCCGGACTGGTGCAAACACTGCTGCGCCAGCAGTGCCCCTCGCCACCCTGCCCAGAGCTGCCCAGGCCGCTCTGCCATCCCTAGCAGGCTTGGGGTGGAGGCTGAAGAAGCTCTTGGTTGCTTCTCCCAGATATGAAGCGCAGCCCATTAGTTTTTTTCTCAGGTATTTGCTGTAGAAGCTGGTCCTCATGTCCATCTCCCAAAGCCATGGTCCACGTGCACTGCTCCTCCCTGCAACCTCTAAAGTCCCTCCAAAGCAGGAAGGGTAAGATAGGAGATAGCATTTCTCTGGATGAATCAAGAACACAGTTTCACGGCTATGAGGAAAATGTTCTGAGTCTCATCAACAAGGCAGCATTGAAATGGTCACTAGAAAACCGGAGCAGTTTCAAGCTCCAGGTCAGAAGTTGGCAATCGCAAGCCACCAAGAGCATCGGGGACATGGCAGAGGAGGAGGCATCATGCCATCCACATGGTCCCTTCTTGCACAGGCAAATGTTCCCATTCCTTTGCCGAGCTAAACAGAGGCACGAATCCCTGTCCCAGGAACCAGCCAAATCTGGGCTCGTGGACCCTGCTCCACCCTGAGGAACAGGAGCATAACGTGAGCCACCAACCTGCTTCCCTCCTGCCGCTGGGCGCCCAGCCCGACACACGCACTCCGGAGGCAGGGGCAATGCATGGGATACAGCGAAGAGGTTAAAAAATAAGAGTAGGGGATTGTTTTCCTCTTCAGATCACTTTCCAAATTGTTATTATCAGCCCAGGAGGGGTTTCCTGCTGCCAAAATTAGAACGGGGCTGAGATAGCAAGGGAAGGGAAACGGGATGACGCAGGCGAAGATAAGGCCAGCGGATGAGCCAGAAGAGCTGCAGCGGGGAGCCAAGCCGGCTCCATGAGAGCTCCGGTTATCTCGGTGCCTCCTGGATGCTGGCTTGCTGCATCCCAGATGGGCAACCCGCTCACCACTTTGGGCCTGCCTGGAGAGCAGAGGGCTTTGGAGAAGCCCTGCTCTGCTGGAGACCATGCAAGGTGGCCAAGCCTTGCTTGATGCTCTTGGGATGTGTCACCAGACTTACCATGTTTTTGGGGACATGGGAACATGGTGTCTGTGTGCACCATCCTTTCTTCTCTCCAAGGACCAGTTACAGCTGAGAGGGACAGACCCACAGCTGGGTTTGGGGGTATCTCCTTTTTCTGCAAGGGCCTGTACTGATTTCCACCCAGTAAGAGGCTGGTTGGGTGTATTTGACCCGTCACCAGGAAATATTTGTTCTGAAAGCTCTTGTTTCTTAGGCCTTTTGTTGCTTGGTGGCCTCCTGAGTGCTAAACATAAGCTCAGCACCTACATCCCTGGGGACACTGTGGGCCTTTGTCATGCAGGAATCCAGATCCAGCACATCAGCGTCACAACCATCGGGTCGCATCTGCCCCAAATCTCAGCGCTCACCACGCTATGTCCCTCTCCCTCCTGGCACCTTCGCCCTTCCCGCAAGCTCCATGTGCACCTTCACTGTGCTCCTCCGCTTTCAGTCACTGCTGCTGTTGCTTACTTCATGGGAGCTGTGTTTTATTTATTTATTTATTTATTTACTCATGATTTATTTTTGAAGATGAAGCTGGAGTGAGAGGATTGCAAATGCTGATGCCTACCTGGAGCTACAGTGACTTTTGCCAAAAGGCAGCTTGGCCATCAGATGTTAATGCCAGCCCAGGGGGTGGGAATCAGCCCAGTAGAGAGAGCAAAGCAAGAAGAAGTGGTTGGAAACTCAAATGTCGCAGCTGATGGAGGGCCTCCCCCAAAGACCTGGTGGGAAAGCACCACGTGGGATCTGCAGGCTTGACCCAAGTTAGAACCAACCCCATTCCAGCCACTCCAGCGCCGTAAGGACCGTGCAAAGAACTTGCTGGCGTGAGCAGAGTGATTTTCGGGCACCCGCTGCCTCGTTTTGTGCTGTCCTGGCTTTGCATCTGTTGCTATCCCGCGTGCAACTGCCACTGGCTCTTTGGAGGATGCTGCTCCCCACCTGCTCCTGAAATGGAGACTCTAAAGGGTCTTTGGCTCTGTCCCAGGGCCCTGCGAGCAGACAGGTTTCCCCCGAGCCCCCTCTTTTCAACACTGTCTCCGTGCTGCAGCAGCCACAGGGCTCACTGAGGTGTCTCCAGCGAAGCGCCAAGTCCCGCCTGAGGCCGAGGGGTTTTGTGTGGGTTTTGGAAGGTGCTGAAGTCCCCCTCTTTCTCTCTCTGCAGAATGGGAGCTTAATGGCCCGTATCTAATTAGCAATTTTCCCTGCACCTGCCCCTCTGCCAGCCCCTCCGACCATCTGCCGTCTCCGCGGCCAACGGGCTGCGTCGCGGCGGCGGGCGAGCACGCGTGCGCGCTGCAGCAGAGCGCGAGGGGACGAGTGTGCGGGGCCACCCTCTCCTCCGCGCAGCCCTCGAGCCTGGCAGAGAGACCGGAGGCCAGGGCAGGCTGAGGCTGGCGCGAGGGAGCGGCAGTTAATCCTCTGTGTGAGGGTTGCCGGTAACTGAGCGCGGTCACCTCCTTTGGGCGTCCCAGCACGGTGACCGGAGGGTGGTGGTTAGTGGCAGAAGCAGCAAGCTGCCTGCGGCGGGTGGCCGTGACCGTGGGGCATCAGGGGACGGGCCAGCTTCTGCTTGGCGCTTGTCGCTTACTTCAGACTCTCTCCAGTTGCCCCGATGGTTTTGGCTCTCCAGAGACTATATTGGTGATGCTCGCAGCCTCCTGCAAGCAAGCAGGGCAAGTGACAGCAACCGGCAGTGTCGATACTTTGCCCTGTCCCCCAATAACATGGTGCTAGGAGTCCTTCAAGCCAGGAAAATGACAGTGGCTGAAGCACGGGTGGCTTTCTCTAGGGCTGATCCCCAAGACGTATCCGCCAGTAAAGCCTCCTCCAGCTTGGCAAGCCCCATGGCCTGCACCAAGAGCCACAGGGTTTCGGGACAGCTCGGGCCTTGAGGCATGTCTCGGAGGAAGGTGTTACAGGATACATGCCCAACCAAGGACCTCACTCCTATTGGCATTAGCTTTTGGGCTATGACTTGGAACACCTTGATTTGGAGACTTTCAGCTTTCCAGCTGACTTCCAGGGCACTAGGGAAAGGCCGAGGTGGGCCTTGTGTTGCTCTTCTGTTGCTGTGTGGCTTATTCAGCACGTCTCTGCATCACTCGCATTAAAAAAGACTTCTTATTTTTCCTTATTTTCCCGGCGAGCCCTTTCCAGGGATGGTACCTGTCTGGGCAACCCCTGTACAGCTACTGTGGGTTGGTAGCCAGAGGACCACCAGCCTGGCCACCCTCCCACAGAGTCTCTGCCACACTGAGGGTGATCCGATTCTTCCCAAGGCAGCTGCTATGGGATCCCACCTCCCAGAGTTCAGCTCCTCCAAAGCCACTGGCTATGGAGCCCCATCACCGCCAGGGAGGGTGAGCCCAACATCCGAGTAGGGAACGGCTCCAGCCAGGGGCTTCTTGGGCCTCCTGATGCTCCGGAGGCTGCAGCTCCCTCTTGGGAGGACCATGGGCCGGGTCTCCTGCCAGGGAAGGAAAGGCTCCCTCCATTCCCCCTTGCTGAGATAACAGGGGCGGAGGGGGGGAAGAAATATGCGGCAGGAGGGGAGAGGAGGGAGTTAATCTTTGACCTGAGGTGAGCAAATTGCTGCCTCCAGCTCCCCCCGGCATTGTGCGGGGAAGGGGAGAGGAAATCACCACATTCCTGAAATTACAG